ACATACATTTTCATTTTCAATCTAAAACAACAACTTTGAACAATTCCTTTTTTTACTCTCAGTTTTATATGATTTTAAAATGTTGGCAAACTTCAAAAAAAAATCATGGCCGACGAATTGAGAGAAAGGTTTACCTTGCTAGTTTTTTATCATGCATTAAACTACGTACAATTTAAAGTATTTTAAGATATTGTGTGTTGACGCATCAAAAGCAGACGGTTACAAACGTTCTTTTTAAATTTGACCCCAGTCGCTGGATACACAACGAAAATTATATTCGCACTGAAGCAATAGAGAAAACAAATTTTGTGAACGATACGGCCACAAAGAAAATAAGTCTTGTAACAAAGTTCAATAAAACCACTTCTGAAATCGAGAAACAGATGATTTTTCAAGAAGTAGAGGCACACCACAAAGTGTTTCCCCACCGGANTTTAACTTTTACATTTCAAAGCTCCCTCAACCACCAGAGGGAGTCTCGATTGTCTCTTACGCCGACGATTGCTCGATCATGGCGACTGGGAATGGAATTGATGACCTGTGTTCGAAAGTAAACGGGTATCTCTCCGAACTTTCTCGCTTCTTCACTGCAAAGTGTCTAGCCCTCTCCCCTACGAAATCCTCTGCGACCCTGTTCACAACCTGGACGAAGGAGGTCAGGCTACCGCTGGGAATTCACGTCGACGACACACCAATTCCGACGGTCAATAATCCCAAAATACTCGGAGTAACATTCGACAGCCTGCTCTCCTTCTCTGCGCACGCAACCGCTATTGTCAATAAAGTACAGAGCCGCAACAAGGTCCTCAAGTCGCTAGCCGGCAGTGCTTAGGGCAAAGACAAAGAAACGTTGCTGGCAACATACAAGGCAATAGGCCGGCCGGTTTTAAACTACGCAGCACCAGTGTGGTCGCCGGGGGACTAGTAGGACGCAGTGGATGAAGCTACAGACAGTACAAAACCCAGCACTTAGGACAGCGACCGGATGCCTCCTGATGTCACCAGAACCCCGCCTCCACGATGAGGCGAAAATGCTCCCAATTAGGGAGCACAACCCGATGCTCTGCAAGCAGTTTCTGGTTGGGAGCCACAGATGTGGCCACCCAAATAGACAGCTGCTTGCAGAGGAGCCCTCGCCAAGGCACGTCAGGAGGTATCTATATGAACTGACGGACGAAGTCCAGAGATTCATTAAGCAGCCTCTGGACCCGTCAGCTTACAGACAGGTCCTGAACGGCATTCACAGGGACTCAGTATCGAGTTATGTAGACTCTAGACCTGTGAATGCCGTTCTAGGCACACAAATACCGGACATCGACGCGACGGAGCTCCATCTGCCTCGGGAGACCAGAAAAACATTCCCACAACTTCGCTCTGGCTACTGCAGCAGGCTAAACGCGGATGTGCCGAACGAATGTCCGGCATGCGGAGGGACCCCTCGCACGCCCGGAAAACCCCACAACCCTCATGGCGTCGTCCCTGTGGACCGACCCCATAGAGGATGCACGCTTTTTGGGGCTGCCGTTACTGGAACTCGACGACAACGACTGAGATATCAACCGACCTGGGCGGGGTTGTTGTAGCCGCTACAACAACAACAACAAAGTACAGAGCCGCAACGGTCCTCATGTCGCTAGCCGGCAGTACTTGGGGCAAAGACAAAGAAACGTTATTGGAAACATACAAGGCAATAGGCCGGCCGGTTTTAAATTACGCAGCACCAGTGTGGTCGCCGGGGACTTTTAGGACGCAGTGGATCAAGCTGCAGACGACGAAGAACACCGCACTACGGACAGCGACTGGATGCCTTCTGATGTCGCCTGAACACCACCTACACGACGAGGCGAAATTGCTCCCGATCAAGGAGCATAATACAATGCTCGGCAAGCAGTTCCTTGTTGGGAGCCATAGACGTGGTCACCCAAATGGGCCCACGACGGACGAAGTCCAGAGGTTCATTAAATAACCTCTGGACCCGTCAGCATATCGACAGGCCCTGAACGGCATTCACAGGGAGTCAGTCTCGAGTTATGTAGACTCCAGACCTGTGAATGCACAACCACCGGACATTGACGAGACGGAGTTTCATCTCGGGACACAAGAAATACAAAAGCCCAACTTCGCTCTGGCTACTGTAGCAGGTTAAACTCATACCTGAGCAGAATAAACGCAGATGTATCAAATGAGTGTCCGGCATGCGGAGACATCTCATGACTCGAAACATCTCTTCGTACGCCTGGAAAACCCAACAACCCTAACGCCTTTGTCCCTGTGGACCGACCCTATTGAGGCTGCACGCCTCTTAGGGCTGCCGTTAGTGGAACTTGACGACATGTTTTCAATGGCTTGGAAGAAGCTGTTATTGTATTAACTCGATTGAATACCAGTTCTTCAGGCATAGGACGAGTTATGGCTTGTGGTTCAACAAANATTGAGGCTGCATGCTTCTTAGGGCTGCCGTTAGTGGAACTTGACGACATGTTTTCAATGGCTTGGAAGAAGCTGGTATTGTATTAACTCGATTGAATACCAGTTCTTCAGGCATAGGACGAGTTATGGCTTGTGGTTCAACAAGTCAAACAGAAACTGACAGATGCGTGCATGGTTACTATGCCTAACAGCTCCGCATACCTTTGTGAAATCATTTCCATAGCGCGCTCTTACTCTGCTGCTAGAATTGCAAGTGCAATGGAATCCATCTTTTCCTTCAAAATATGTAAATCCAAAAACTTTTACTATAAATAAGCACTTGTAGAGCGTTTTTCTAATTCCGTTCCCCTTTGTTTTCCTTTATACAGCTTTCCTCGAAAAACCACTAATAGCTGCCAATGCTGCACAGATTTCCGCAATCGTTGCAGCATGTCGGTTTTTCGNTTTCCATAGCGCGCTCTTACTCTGCTGCTAGAATTGCAAGTGCAATGGAATCCATCTTTTCCTTCAAAATATGTAAATCCAAAAAATTTTACTATAAATAAGCACTTGTAGAGCGTTTTTCTAATTCCGTTCCCCTTTGTTTTCCTTTATACAGCTTTCCTCGAAAAACAACTAATAGCTGCCAATGCTGCACAGATTTCCGCAATCGTTGCAGCATGTCTGTTTTTCGTTTTTTCGTAGCATAGCTACAAATTACGAGTTACGAAAATGCGGGTTCTAGAATAAGGGTGTATGATTAATTAAAAAATTTAGTTTTTTCAGTTGTGCCAGTCTTTTAGTAAATAAGCGATAATTATATAAGATCTGCTTCATTTGAAATCTGGCAGTACTCTACATAGCACAACTTTGTTATCGACTACTCGATCAGCCGTTTATTTAGTGTGCTGATTTTACAATCGTTGTTTTTTATTACAGTTAATTTTCATATGCGTANCAAATTACGAGTTACGAAAATGCGGGTTCTAGAATAAGGGTGTATGATTAATTAAAAAATTTAGTTTTTTCAGTTGTGCCAGTCTTTTAGTAAATAAGCGATAATTATATAAGATCTGCTTCATTTGAAATCTGGCAGTACTCTACATAGCACAACTTTGTTATCGACTACTCGATCAGCCGTTTATTTAGTGTGCTGATTTTACAATCGTTGTTTTTTAATACAGTTAATTTTCATATGCGTNATTATATAAGATCTGCTTCATTTGAAATCTGGCAGTACTCTACATAGCACAACTTTGTTATCGACTACTCGATCAGCCGTTTATTTAGTGTGCTGATTTTACAATCGTTGTTTTTTATTACAGTTAATTTTCATATGCGTACAAAATCTACACATCTCCTAATGTCGGTTAGTAAAATTGCTGAAAATTGGAAGGTCGACGGTACAAAATGCATTGTAAAATATCAAGAAAAATTGCAGCATTGAGAGAAAGAATCTGGCGGAAAATCAGGCACTATAAATAAAATAGTGTAGAAGGATGTTCTAAGGACTTTGAAAAGGAGTCCGAATCTTTCTGAACATTTTGTTGCACCTGGAGTGTTGTTCTGAGAACCTGTATTGTTTTGGCCTGATTTGGCAACAAGCCATTGTGCAAAAAAGCTCAAGAGTTTTATACACAAAATGAAATCACCATTGTACTAAATCCTCCGAATTGCCCAGAGCTGCAAACGATCGAGCGTTATTGGGCCCATATGAAATCAAAATTAAAAAAAAAAACAAAATANATGTTCTAAGGACTTTGAAAAGGAGTCCGAATCTTTCTGAACATTTTGTTGCACCTGGAGTGTTGTTCTGAGAACCTGTATTGTTTTGGCCTGATTTGGCAACAAGCCATTGTGCAAAAAAGCTCAAGAGTTTTATACACAAAATGAAATCACCATTGTACTAAATCCTCCGAATTGCCCAGAGCTGCAAACGATCGAGCGTTATTGGGCCCATATGAAATCAAAATTTAAAAAAAAAAAACAAAATGCACGGCTTCAAGAATAACGCAGTTCCGCAGAATGTGGCGAAAACAGGCTCAATCGATCGACGAAAGGGATGTCCAAGTATTAATGGCGGGTGTAATCTCTAAAGTACGGGTATTTTGGCGTGGAAATTAATTCTAATAGTAAATCTTTCATTTAAATAGAAATAAAAGAAGGTTCTAAAAAAGTTTCAAATTTAAATTGTTTTTTTTTTTTTAATACCCGCCAGATTTCAACTGAAGCAGATCTTATTTACGATCCAATCAAATCTGAACTAATAAAGTATGTATATATCAATTTGATAATCTAATTAATATTAATATTAATTATATAATTAATCTAACAATAAAAAAATACAGAAAATAGAGAAAGTTTAAGTTCACAATTGAGCTGCATGTGTCTATTAATAGTGGGAAATTTTTTAAAAGAAGNATTTAAATAGAAATAAAAGAAGGTTCTAAAAAAGTTTCAAATTTAAATTGGTTTTTTTTTATTTAATACCCGCCAGATTTCAACTGTGTCTAAATTTTTTAAAAGAATCACACAACTTTCTAAAAACGGAGCCAACATTTTAACCATGCTTAAAATCTTAAAGTATTTACCTGGCCATTCTTCCGGATTAACCAAAAAGCTGAGGTACTGTCGTTTGAATCCGCTTGTATATTGTGCATTTGTTGATATGATTCTCGCAACACCATCTTTCCGTCGACGCTTTGTAACAAAATCAACAATGGTGGGGGCGTATTAAGTTTTAAAGGACCAAAATAAATTTTACGTTGAGAAGTCGGAGTTACGAACGCATCATAGGCGGCGTTTTGGAAGAATTGCAATTTGACAATCTTTTGCTTTTGTCTACTGAAGGTCATCACTTTCTGAATGCGATCGAGAGACACTAGTTCTTGAAAGTCTGGAACATATATATGCGAAAAGTCTTTATAAAGATCAAGTACAAGCCAACGATGTGGCTCAGATGTCACGTCTAGCCCATCCAGATCATTAATATCAAGCGAAGTAAGGTTCCGAAAAGTAATGTTTGTCTTCATTTCCGTATAGTGACTACTTCCAATTAGTTCCTGCAACTTCGATAACCCAGTATACGATTTTGATTTATCAATTGTAGTCAATGTACTGCTGCTTATTGTACTAGGCGGCACAGGGCAGCGCACTATCGGTGGCTGGAGTTTATTTTGCTGTTGCGTTTTTCTTCCACTTGATCCTTGTTTTGCGTTAAGCATATCGCAAGTGCTTTTACTGTTGTTATTACTAATATTTGCAGATACTTTTTGTTCGCGAAGAACTGGCGATGGAAGAGATGGTTGCACTTTGCTGCTGTTTTGGGCTGAAACGGTTGAATTGCTTTTTTCTGCATCTGGCGTTTCTCGCAGCTGCTCGTTCTGTTTTTGTACGACTTTTTTATTAAGTTCACGAATATGCTGTTTGGCCAACAAACTGGATAGTACATTGATTTTACGCGTAAGCAAAGGGTGAGATTTTGGCGTTGGCTTGGCACAAGCGCTAGACTTATCAGCACGCAAGAAACCCTTAACAAGCCAGTACTTCGCCCGACCCTGCATTACAATCGCCAAATCACGAGTTTGATTACTGCGGCAACGTTGTAGCAGCATGCGACCCAGCAAAGGTAGCTGCGGTATTGGCAATGCTGCAATATTTATGACACCCACAGCGTCCAGTACCATAGGCATCATGTTGCTGATAGTTGCCGCGAAGAATGTTTGGTCATCTCGTAGCTTTACTTGCCATATGAAAACAAAACCTTCATTAAAGGCATCCAAAAAGTTGGACCATTTGATGATGCACAATATTTCATTATTAGGGGCAGGAATAACCTTGCTCTCACGCTTCAATGCTAAGCCAATATCCTGCATCTTCTTATTCACCAAGCTATTCATGCTTCGCACCACATCTCTAAAGAAATCTATTCGCGAATGCGAAAGTGAAGACGAAGGTTGCATATTTAGGGAGAGTTCGGCTGAGCACTCTGTGNTGCATCTTCTTATTCACCAAGCTATTCATGCTTCGCACCACATCTCTAAAAAAATCTATTCGCGAATGCGAAAGTGAAGACGAAGGTTGCATATTTAGGGAGAGTTCGGCTGAGCACTCTGTCGCAACCGAACTGATATCTGTGGCAGGCTCATCTGCGCCTGTATAGCCAGAAATGGATGATCCCGACGGTTCTGCATCATCGCTGATAACTAAGTCGTTAGTATTGTGATTCTTTTGAATGTCTAGTGATTTCGTTTCATCCTCCAAATTTTTTATCGTGTTTTCAGACGGCCCATTACGGTTGGATTTAGCGGATGCTGTTAAATCGGACAAACTATTGTCTTCTACTAAAACGTTGCTTTCGAACTCTGCGCTACAGCGATCAGTATTACTGTTACTTTTTTCTTGCTGGCGACTTCTTTTGCGTAGTCTTCTATGAGATGTTGGTTTACTCGACGACATTGAAAGCAACGACGAACGAGAAGATTGACATGAGTCCTCATCAGTTAATTCTACAATTTGTCTATCTTTGTCATTCAATGTCTTCTTTCTCACCGGTTCTGTTTTTTCTTTATACAATTCTGCAAAGATTAGAAAATAACAATCAAAAATAGTTTCAATTTAATATGGGAATAAAAGAGCATGCGTACGGTTACAAAATGATAAACGATGGTTTGCAGTAATGTTATTGAAATACGGTCTGACCTTTTGCATTTCCGCGCCATTTCAAATGTAATATTTGCCCCTGGATCTGAAGTTAGATATGTATTAAAAAAATAGATAACGGGTGTAGACGAGAAAATGAGAATACTTTTGAGCATCTAAAAAAGCAGACGCTAGACACGACATTAGTTGGCTAAGGTCAGGCTCTATGATAAATGTACTTCAGTTTGACATACTTTAGTGAATTGTTGTTGTTGTTTTTTTGGCGGCTAAAACATTCCCGCTCAGATCTGCTAGTCCCTCAACCGTTGTCGTCAACCTCAACGAACGAAAGAGGGTTAGGCCCCTTGCAGTGAAGAAGAGAGAAAGCGCGGAGAGGTAACCGTTTACTTTCGAGCACAAGTCATCAATTTCATTCCCAGACGGCATTATCGAGCAAACCGAGGAGGCCTCTATGTCTTCTAGTAGCGTGGAGTGACTGACGGTGTCAAACGCCTTTGACAGATCCAACGCTACTAGAACTGTTCTCTCACAGGGACGGTTACGGTTAGGGCCACGAGTTACCTGGGCGTTTATGGCGTTAAATGAGTAGTCCACAGCGTTATGTAATTTTATAATAGTAAGCCATAAATTAAAAAAAATCTATAAAAACAATTAAAATCTAAGTAAGAGCCTAATAACATTAAAAAACAAAATCGCAGTATGGTAGTTTTTGCAAATTTTATATCTACAAAATTAATATAGCGAGTTTTGAAACAGTAGCTTTTAAATAGCTAGCTTTTTATAGTTTTTCGCGTTTTTTTTACGACGTCTTCCACTAGGCACCGAAACTACGTTTTCTTGCAGTCATCTAAGTTCATCAGAAGATGGAGACTTTTTAACTTGCATAAATACGTACAATAAATATCGTAGCATACATACAGTAAGTATTGTAGCGACTTTTGCTAGAGTAGCTAACATTTGATGCTATTTATTTCAGAATATATAAGGATTTTGCACAGTATTGTTAGTGGACATGAAACTACTTTAAATACTAGTACGTAACCACCAAAAACTAAAAATCGAAAAAAAAGTTACATAGAGCACTTTGCAAGTGGACTACTCAAATGTTGTTGTTGTGCTGTGCACTTTACGGAAACCATGCTGATGATTCGTTGAGGTCAGGTGTCTTCAATAAAGGAGAGTTATCGGACGATATGACTCTCCTTTGTTGGCTGGTTTCCCCGGTTTCAGCGGTGGGATCTTCTTCTTCTTCTTTTTTGGCGCTGTAACCGCCTAAGCGATTTTGGCCGAGTTCAGCAAAGCACGCCAGTCGTTTCTCCTCTGTGCCAACTGACGCCAATTGGAAACGCCAAGTGAAGCCAAGTCCTTCTCCACCTGAT